GAGGCACTTATGCTTCTGAGGTGTGCAGCAGAGAGGCTAAATTCCTCAACTTCATGAACCAAACCTCCCTACACTTTTTAAAATTAACTAGCCATTTATTTGCCTCGTGGCAGTTTTGAGTCAACTCCCAGTCTCATTTACGGCAGTATTTACAAAGGCGTCTTGGAAAGGCGGGTGGCATTGTGGCACCTCCCTGGTGTGAAGCTCGGAATCGAAAGACCAACATATTTACTTTTGAATTAGGAAGAAGAAAAAATAATGAATGTCAAAATTAGTAGTAGCCTTGAAGGGAAAATTTAATTGAAAATGATAAACTTTTAAATATTCATGGTTTAATTCAAATGTCTTAATTACAAAACAAGAGTTCACATAGGTAAATATAAGACTATAATTAAGGCACCTTTATTGTGGAAAGAAATAAGTGGAGGTTTCCTTGTGACAGTAAAAAGGTTTTATTCACGAATGCATTTTATTTTAAAAGCAGATCTGAGTTTAAGAAAAGGGAAGAACCTGTCGGCTTAAAGTTAAAATAACTCTTTTACTTTTTAACGCCTTTTAGCCTCCTCTTTTAGCAATAAAAGTTATAAAGAACTGACATCAACGATAGAAATCAAAGGCCCAGAACAATAGTAATGAACCATTCCATTAAGTTTATAATTAAAACTCAAATCCTAAATTAAATATCTTCAATCTGATACCTATTGTTCATATTGGACTTATTTACTGTTTAAATGGTCCCTCGTGAAATAAAATTGTCAAACTCTGTTCCCGGCCATTAATTATAAAGATATCATATTATAATTAATGTGTTGATTTTAAATTATCTTTGGGAAAAAATTGTATTTAATTTAGTGCCCGATATTTCCGTTAATTTGAAATTGCATACCTTGATGGAAAAGTGACCCATGATGAAATTAAAAGATGGTAAGCCAATTCACTCGGAAACGATAAGCGCAGAATTTCATATTTCCTGGAATCTAACATCTCACGTTTAATTGTCTTCCCATTTTACTTTATTTGCTTCTGAATAAGTTAATAAACATAAAAATATCAAATGCAAATTAATTAGCTAGGATGTCAAATATCAGTTATAACCCAACTGAAGAGAAGTAAGAATGTTGAAAACTGGATTCTTTTTCATTTGGAACTCTTTCCTAAAACGGACTCTTAGGATACATACAGATTTATGTGTTTAAATGCCATTGTAATGTATAAAACTCATTTATTCCATCGACATCTACATAAAAATGCATTTTATTTTAAGATGATAATCGTTTTTTTGTATTAATTTTGCATAATATTCTTTCATATCTGAAAAGTCTAAAGAGGATATGAAAATTAATTTTGTGAATAAATGTTTAGAAATTGTCAAAAGAAAACTAAGAATTGAAAGAATTATAATTGGGCGAAAATGTTCAAGAACCGTCGAGAAAATTGAACTGACTGGTAAGTAAAAACTATTTAGATTGAAATGAATAAGTATCAGCCTTGCATTTGTTAGTTCATGAAATACTTGACTTGCCCATTTTAAGCACAGGATATCACCTGAATAAAGGGAAAAGTGAAGAGTATCACAATATTTACCTGTTTTTCATTCAATACCTATTGGACATAGATTGAAACACTTTCTACTATTTCAATATGCAAATGACAGAATTCGTTTCACATTTATTTCGGTGAACTAATGTTTACGTCAGCGAAAACATGTTTTCCAGTTTGGCACTTTGGTTGCTCTAATTTCATTAAAACATGCGTGTTCTTCTTTGCAAAGGTGTTTGTGCGGTAGTACCAAACAGCCTGATTTCAATGGAGATGAATGAGTGAGCAATAACTACTGGGTTAAGTGGATTTATATATAAGTGCTTTCAGTTCTCAAAAACAGCAACAATTATTAAAACTCTTCCAACTTGACCCTTAGCAGTTGTCCAAAATGTCAAATTCTGTTTTTTAAAATAGATCCATTGTTAATGATCTCAATTATTGAATGGATTTCGCCAAATGCAAATATTGGGATTTATTTATTCATAAAAAATATGTAAATGCTGGCAGTCAATCAGGAAAAGCAATAATCTGTGTGAAGCTAAAGGGCATTCTCTAATCAAGTGAATTAGTTGTGACACTCTTCAAGTTTTTTGACTTGCAATAATATGCTTATATTTTAAGAAAATATTTATTCAATTTATTATATTTTGAGCAAATAGACGACAATTTTATTTGCGGGATTTAACATGCAATGATTTAATTTTTCGCTATCAGAAAATGCTGTAAAGTTATGAAATTTTGAAAGGAATCGAATTTTACCAACCAATATATCAGACATACGCTTAAAAATGTCATTTGACGATTCGAGCAGTCGAAAATTTGTAGATGAAGTAAATGTTTTCGAAAATCTTTGGAAAAGGAAGCAGTCGTTCTAATGGCCATTTTGTGTTTTTAAATTAATCTTTGAGCTTTCTCAATTTAATCTCTTGACAACTTCAGGTTAGATAAAATCTTAGACCTTCATCGGAGAGCAACATTCACGCCAAATGTAAGGCGTAGGAGATAAAATATTTTATTATATTTTCCTGTTCATATGATAGAAATTTTGTCGAAAGCATTAATCATTTCTTCCTCTGAATTTTAGGGAATTAATTGGGAAATCGTAATAAGGTGGAAAATTTTCTTGGTGAGCCCAATGTATAACATGCCTTTTGTTATTTAAAGTTAAATGATGGAAATAGTTGTTTAAGGTTAATTAATTAATTTTATTAAATATAGGATTAATAATTAACAGTCCGAGTGAATTTATTTTATTCCAATTAAAAACCTATTTTAAATACGAAATAGATCATTTTCGAAGTCATAACTACCGTGTTCATGTTTCTTGTATAAATTATATGACATGAAATATATGAGATCAATTTCTATTAAACCCGTTCTAGGGATTTTGCTGTCTCTAAAAAGGTTATAAATTTAGTGGCAATATATGGCGAATGGCAATGAGATATTCTAACAAGATAAATAAACCTTCTGGTATACAAAGGGCTGTAATTTTTGCTTTAATCAGTAAACACGCCTAAGTAAAAGCGTCTGGCCGTTTCTCTTTGCAAATTTCTTTACGGGGCATTATTTCGAAATATTTTGCTTATCAAATTCATTTGGCAAGTTGAAATGGGGAATTTTTTCAATTTCCTGCGGTAATGCAAAGAAGATTGTGATTCATGGAATAATTAAAATATCTTTAAAAGCTCTCTTAGGCTCTTTGATTGCGAGTGGCAGTTTTAGAAAGTGACTTATTTTCTAACCCGATAGGTTCAAATATTTTAAAGATATTTTAAATAGTTATCACAATAACTTTGGTCTTTAGGCAGGCATGAGACAGCCTACAACAGATGATAAGCCATAAAAACTGTAGGGGTTTTGTCTAAGTGGCTCCGAAACTGTTATCCCCTCATGAAGTTGACTTGAAATGGTTTTCAGTAGAAAAGGAGTCGGGCAGGGGGGATATTAAAGGTGCCATTAACTCAAACGATCTTTGCTATTACCTAACTTCCTAGCACGTATTGTAAAGTGGCGGCATGATGCGTTTCAAAGAATTTTTAGCATTTTTGTTTGTATGGTGATTAAAATGATACACCATTTGAATGCGAACTTGCTCTACTACAACTGATGACCATCTTACATTTTAAATAGAAAAAATACATGTTTTCCATACATTAGATAGCTATTCCAACACTATGTGGGCTTAATTCATTTAGAAATGGGAAACACATTTGATAACTGCTCTACTAGTTCCGTCATTGTAAGACACTTTCAAACCTTCACTTCAATCTGGGTACTAATCGGTTGTTATTTCCAATCCTTTTACTGAACAAAGTTAAAATGCCAGGTTTCCTTATATTACAAGCAAATTGAGAATAGGTCTGAGAAATATGTAATAAGAATATTACGTCAATTTTCCCGAAATTATCATTAAACCTACTAACAAGTTTTGATTGGAAAAGGACTCACGAGAAAAATTAATATAAATTTTTTTTATTTTGTCTTTCTCTACCTCGCGAAGTTTAATATTGAAATTTTATATCTCCTTCCGAATTGGATTTATTTCATTATAAATATAGCTCACAGCATTTCTCTAAATCTTTTCCAAATTTTAGCCATTGGAGCAACTGAAAGTAAGTAAAAAAAGACGGTAAATGGTGAAGGGAAGGGGGTTGTAAAGACACGAAAAGTAACGTCAGAATATCAAAGAATTTTCCACCATTGGATAATTGGACTCGAGTTGTACAATATTTACTAGAGAAGAAGTTCACGAAGTACAGCAAGTGCTTGCTGACGACTTTGGGTGCTCAAAGTTTCTGTTTCAAATTTATTTGGCTTTTTTTGCGAGTGGTTGAGAAGACAAAATTAGCAAACTTTAATCAAGAAGAGATTGCAGAAAAAGTTAAGTTGGTAGATATCAGGATAGATTGGCCATAAACTATCAACTGAACTAAAATACCATAATTAAATGGCATTAGACATGTGTCGCTTAGTGAATTATAAATACAAAAGTTCAAAATAACCCAATCAGTCGACTTTTGGAAACAATTAGCAACGATAAAACTTCATAATTGTGCCTTTTATTTATCGTGGATCAAAACAGTGGAACTAGTACGGGTTTCAGGCAATGACTAGCAAATCAAACTATTTTTCGATAAAAAATATTATACTCCATTGCATGCAAAGATTGTAGTCTCCCATTGTTTGTGGCTTTTATTATTAGCCATTTAAAATCAACACGCTGAAATCATGATAAAATTTAGCTTTAGAAATGGCATTTCTTAATTGCAAATTTCTCTATAAAAGTGCAAGATTAAATAAAGTAACTAATAAGTAACCCTAATTTATCATGAATATGAAATAAATAAATAAATAATAAGAAGTAGTTGACAGAATCGAAATTGAGAAAACTCGACCGAATTTGACTAGTCTCTAAAGGCTGAAACTGACATCAATGCCTATTCCAGGGGCGAAAATTATGCCGAAACAAGGCTGTAAAAGGAAAAATTAAAACATTTATATTCGAAGTTATGTAGTTTTTATACGACCTACGAAATAACCATCTACATAGCAAAACATTTTCCGATCTTACTTTCTGACATCTAAAAATTTTTGCTCTCTTCTCCCTTTCTACTTTCGTATTTAGTGAATATTTTGGAATTTTTAGCTTAAAAAACGGGTAATCGCCAGTTAATAGGGACTTCCAGTGTCTCACTTCTGATAGCTTAGGGTTTCCAAAGAAGGGAGTGATTTAAACTCCAAATTCCAGAATGCTGCATCGCATTGAGCTGTTTAATCAAACAAAGTTCATTTAACAATAATTTGAAAATTAGTCAACTGATTTATTTATTATTAAAATGAACTAACAAGCAGGGTCGTTGCTTTCAATAACATTAAGCATTGAATAACATTGCTAAACCCCGTCTATTTTATTGATTTTGTATGAAATATATGTGTTTAGCAAAAAATTTAATTGGAGGAGGGGAGGGGTTGGAGGCGGATTAATGGGTTCACACTGATTAATTCAGAATCACCACAAAGTATTTACCGAAATGCTGCAGCACCATATGAGCTAAGGCGTGAAATATTCGAAATTGCGCACAAAATTACATTCCTACAGCCATTCACCCACTTGTCTAAATGAGAGGCAATTTGTAATATTAGTGCAATTAACCTGACCTATTAGCGTTAGCATTTTGAAATTGATTGATAATCTATATTTTTTCCAAATAAGTAATCAAAAGTCATTACTTAAATAAAACCGAACGAATTTTGGAGTGGTTCGAAAATTCCTTTCTACCTACTGGACTTCCTTATTGATTAGCCCGACATAAGTACTGAAGTTAATATGTCAACAAAATGGCATATTTCATGAGTGGGCGTTTGAAATGTTCTCAGATCTTTTAGCTGCCTCAATAAAACTATGGTACTCTAGTCATTTGTGTGCTTTAGCTCTTTTTCCAAAATTGAATGTTCACTTGGCAAATTATGTCCAGAAAATTAAGGAACAACAAAATAAACAATATTTCGTTCATAAACAATTTATATTAATTAATTGAAAACATATTGCGTGAATGCTTTCAAATATATATTTTGAAATCATGTAACTTTCAAGCCAGGCTTAGAGTGGACATTAATTATCTAGGTCGCTACCATATTTACGCGATTTTCTTAAATTAATTGACAAGTGTATGCTGTAATAAACAGGGCGTTGGATATTGTTTATAATTCTAAACGGACCTATATTCCATTTTTGTATAACTATGCTTACTTAATAATTAAATTAACGTGATCATGTATTCGAGATATTATAGTAATTGCAAAAGAAGGTTGACCTATATAAAATGATATTCATAATTCAAAATTCATTTTAACTCTTAAACTGTAGGTTCATAAAAATAAATGATACATAAAGTAAAAATTTTGAGTCTGACATTGGGAAAGAAATTTTAATTCATTGAACTATTAACTCCACCATAACACTAAATCATCTAGCCCTGAAACAAAGTTTCGGCGGTAAACCTATTCCACAATAAGGCTCTGTTAATGTTGTTGTAGATTCTCCAATTCGATCCAAATTTATTCACCTTTAATTTCGTGAATATCCTGTGACAAATAAAATCTATTGAAAGAGAGCATCAGAGTACAAGGAACATTAAAGTACAATAAGATGATTTATGGCGATAGAATCGAGTATAGATATATATATATAGGTACAAAATTTTCTATAAAAGCTTTCGGATGAAAATTCACCAAACAGACCAAAACAAACTACCAAGGGGAAATTACAAATTAAAATTAAAAAATCTGTATATTTAAAACGATGTTTCGGTTCTGAATGAATATACTTGAACAATTAGGTTTAGCTTTCGGTTTTTTATGAATGATTTTTGTAATATCTAGAAGATTAATAATAAGAGAAACAACATCTTACAAAGTGTTTTCACATCAAAATCACCTAAATGAAATGCAAATCGCAGAAAAAAGACGAATATATTAATTTTTTAAATTAAAATTCCTCTGTAGTGAGTTTTGAACTCAAAAACATTATCCGCACGTACTTAAAATATTTCATTTGTAAGGCATTATCCAAAAAATAGTCGTTTGGTTTCTAAAATCTGAACATGGTTTGAGCAAGCATTTGATTTAGTATCTGTTGGTTTTGAAATTGAAAGTAAACACAAATTAGGGTCCTATTTTCTCATTTATTAATATTTATTGCCAGTTATATAAATTTTGAAATTAATGACATTTAAAAATGCAATATAATTGAGCTGATTATTTCAAAGCGCTGTATTTGGGATCAAATTAATGCTTCTATTAAACTCTTCTTCTACTAAAAATCCGATTACTTCGCAAATTTCACGATTCGATAACGGACCTTAGACCGAGAACGAAAATTAAAAAAGTTTTTAGGGCTTTTAATTTCTTTTGGCTGCTTGTTAATTTCATCCCTGTGGAAGCCAAAAACCCAAAATTTTGGCTCGATTCAGTCCCTATGATGCAATTAGTCCAATAAATTTAATGATTAGGAAACAAAGTGGTCAGTTGACATTTACATTCATAATCCATTAAATATTTTTGATATAGATCCAAGAATAAAATGTGTAGCAATATTATTTGGTGGACGACAGCCTATACTGCCATATCCCATTTAACAGGCACTAACGACTGAAAAATGTTCGGTTACTCTTAAGGTTCTGATATCGACAGTATACATTTAAAAGGATTCTAGAAACGGTAGGCAATACAAAATAGTTTAAAAAATAATCAGTATTGTATTAATGTATCATTTCGATTTCAAGAAAAAACTCTCTCTCACCATCTTAGGAAGGAGCATTTAACATAAAGATTTCATAAAAAATTTCCTGTTTGGTATTGAAGTGGTGAAACAAGACTTTTCTCTGTTTGAAGCGATCATTTGAATAAATTAATAAAAAACAAATAACCTTCATATAGAGTGAAACTCCGAAGATTTCAAGTTATTTGGGAATCAAAATAAGTTGGAGAAAAAAATTAAATTAACATGATTAAGTCAAGAAATAGAACTTTGATGCCTAAAGTCTCGCTGACTTTACCATTTTTTCCTAATTAAGAAAAGCAGTGGGGACTAATTTTGCTCAATGTAAACATTGAAGATGAACTGATATTCTTCTATTAGTGGCAATGACTGAGAGGATTATTGAGATTTGAACAGAGCTAAGGGTGTTTCAAAATATCCTGGAAGAATGTAAGCAATTAGTCATGAAAAATAGGGCTTTTGTCAACTCGAAGTGGCAGCTCGCCCCCCCCCCCTTCACAATGTGGCTCAAGTAATTAGTTTCTTTCATTTCTCCTTCTTTAAAGTAAAATAATTTTGGTTGATGCTAATCACCAGTGAGTTGAAACACCTAAGTGCAAATTGATGGTGGAACTAGGATTTACTTACAGGAAAAAGAAACTAACGAACAATAAGTGAAAACAAATGATTTTCGAGTTTCCATCTATTTAAAATTCAGTTCTGTTGAACAATCAAATTATTTACTTTTGTGGTCAAGCGGACTGCAATTAGATATATATTTAATTAAAATAAGCGCTAACGACAAAATATGGGCAAGGCCATGTATGTATTCACCACAAATGGGAAGAAATTGCACCTGTTGATATGAATATCCTGGAAACTCTAAATTTCATTCAGTAAACCATTGGTAGACACCGGAATATTCGGTTAGTCAAAAAATTGCTAATTTTAGAATTTAAATGAGGTTTGACTAACCTTGGTTAGAATAAAGCTTCTATTAGGAAACAGTATAGATATTTAATTTATGAAATACTCAAAAATTGACAAAATTTGATGAAAAGATCTTAAAATCCTTGATTAATTTTTGTGAGTAAATAAATATACAATTGAAACAAACATCCGAAATTTCTGCTACTTGTTATATTTTAAAAAAATTGTATTTCTAAATTTTGTAATTTCCGCAATTTTCCTTCACGTGTTGTTATCCGACATTTGACCACAGGTAACATAAGTAATTATAAATGAGATGGGAGCAGTTCACACGTCAAATGAACACTTATCTTCATTTATTGAATTAACCAGAATTGAGCAATCAATTTTGTATGCTTCGCACTTCCACTTCCACTACCACAGCCTTTTCCTCTTTCAGAAGTTAAGAGAATGTAACTAAAGAGAAGTAGATTAGTTTTCACGTGGAAAAAATCACAATTTTAAAATAAGAAAAACGTATTTGAATTTCTAATTTACAGTTGACCTTTAACTAACATACTTTTAAGGAAAATTTATTGATATTACTCTCTGACATTTTCGTATTTTTGATTTATTTTATATTTAAATTTAGTCAAATGTTCTACGTCGCCAAAAGAAACAAAGCGTCACCCACAATTCGGCTCCATTTTAATCACCTGCTTTTCTAAACACGCGAAGAACCAATTTCCGTGCTAAATTTATATTTCTAAAAAAGGAGGCTTTTTCAGAGAAACTAGCAAATAGTTTAGAAAGCAAGATAGTGCACTTTGTCGAGCTCGGTAAAAATCGATTCTACGAAGCCATTTTGAGGTAAAGAAAAACCAATAGTTTGATTAGAATAAAAACTGAAATATGGACAAACCTGACGATGCCTAAGTGACCCCATTGACAAGCCCAGTTGAGAAGATTTTGTCCTTCATTCCTCCAGTCTCGGTATTGCATTCCATGACGTAGAAGAGCTAATAGCACATCCGGGTTACCGCCACCGCGCATAGCGAAGTGCAACAGTGTGGTCCCAAATTGGTCAACGAAGTCTACATTGGCACCATGACTAGATAATACGTCCACAGCCTCGGCGTTTGATGCGATGCATGCCTTTTGAAGGGCAAAATCCAACACCTGTTTATCCACGTCATATTTGCTGAGATATCTGTCCAGACCTTCATAATCTTTAACGTGAATAAATGCATGGATAATTTTGGCCGGGGATGAACCTCCTGAGGGCAAAGCTCCAGCAATTTTCAGAGCGAAGGCCTTTTTCGCATCTTTAAGATCAAGAGTATGGGGTAGGGATATTGTTGGTGTCTGAGCTGGTTCCGAGCTGACATTCAAAGCAAATCCCAGTTTCTTAGTAGTTCCAGTTGAGCAGGAAGGCGTATCTTCCTTATTGGGGTCACTTCCAGACCCCTCATTCAGGTTATTGCTGCTCATTTTACTGGATCAAATGATGCATATCACTACACAAGTGTGAACGACGTCTAAACTTCGATGTTGTGCAGTGCAAATGAAGCGCAAAGATTGTTGCGTGCGGTCGTTGGTGTTGTGCGCGTAATTGGAAATGCCAACGCGTGCGAAAGGCGGCCAATCAGTGACCCGGATTTGTGCACACTTAGTCCAATTGGCATTCACAAAAGAAGGTAGAAACTGGGCATGTCGGGAAGTGCTTTGGAATGCCTTTGTGTTTAAATCACTCCCATGAGTACTAAAAGATAAGAATAGCCACTTTTCACCTTTTTCGCCTCTTAGTATAACCTTGATTTCATTTAGTGGGGGGGGGGGGGGGGAGGCAAGCTTCTAGCTTAGAAATTTAAAAATTCATTAGTATATCAATAAACCAAAACTATCCTCGGGTTGTTTTACTGGAACACAGTAGAGGCTGACACACTCTTGCCTAATGTAGTTGGGTGCCAAGTGGGTGAAGCCTCAGTCTGCAGGGCTAATTTCCATTTATAATGCCAGTTCCGATGCAAACTCTGCCTTGGCACTCATTCCTTACAAAACACTTATAATTCATATTTATTTCATTATAACTACGAGGTTAAACTGTAAGCTCTTGAATATCAGGTAAGATCATTTTTCCTTCTCAAATTTGGAAAATAAAAGTGATTTAAATGGGCAAGATTAACCACTGAGATGAAAGCAGTTAGTAAGCAATAAAAAAACATAGAATAGCAATACAGGAAGCGAATTGTGAATGTAAGCTGTCCAGTTAAAATCCAAGACTTTTTTTGATCCCCTCCTCTTTACCATTTGTTGGGTTTACTGTTAACCGATTTCAGTTGCTACTAACAATAAAAAATAGACATCTTTCCTTTACTGTGGTTAATGAAAATAAACAATTGAGTCCGATTTCGACTATTGATACAAAAGACTTGTCAATCGCATTCTGGAAAAGAATTTTTTATAAATATCTAGATGGCTCATTTTACCTTTTCTCATGGTCAACAAGTCAATTTCCTGGCCACCCAATCGCGGCAACTTCAATTAGCCAACAGTTTTTGAAAGCTTAAACCAACTGAATACCTAACCTTCGTCCTCACCTCTTTATGATTTAAAATCCTATTTCAGAGAGTTTAGCTTCAGTTAGTAATAACTTTCCTTTAGATCAGACTAACGATACAAAAGGGTTAAGCCAAGTAAATGGCAGATATGGAAAGCTTTTAATATTGATGCAAAGTGCTGAGCAGCGCTAATGGGTGTCCTCAAGCCCACAAACTAGAGTTCATATCGCATGCAAATTCCTTCTCGTGAGAGTTTGGAGACCTCTGGGTTGCTTTCCTATTTAATGCTTTTTAGGAATATCGTCACTCAATGCGCATCGAAATACTGGATCATGCTTGTGCTGAGAAACCCAGTAAATCCAGGGTTCGTTGGTCCCGCGTCTTTTTGGCGACCGTGTTTTGCACTGCTGTTTTTTATTACATTGTCTATTTGAGAGTTTGAGTTGCGAAATTCAGCCAATTGTCTGGACAAATTGGTGTTGATACAAGGTATAAAGTTGCTTTCATTTAGCAGTCGCCTGCTTACTCGTGAAGTCGCAGCCTTTACTAGCGTTACTATCAATGTCCCTTAAAGGAACACTTACTTGATGGACGCAGAGGCAATTCAAACTCCTGCAAAATTGCGCTTACCCCTAAAAAGTAACCTTTACAAGTTGAAACATTATTACAACATATGCGAATGTGGAACACCACGAAGAGAAAGGAAACATCAACAAGACGAGGTCACTGCATGCTGATGACTAGAGGACGCACAGAGTAAGAATACAATGAAAAAACTGGACTTACCCTGATTGTCTTGCACGTCTCGTTTGTTCGAGTTAATTTTGCACTTAACATCAAACTACGCCAGTGAATTTAAAATATTCAACTTGAGACTAAACATATCAGATAAGGTATAACAAAGTTGGTAGCTTTACTTCATTTCTATCCTATTTCTTTCCATCTGTTTGAATGCGCCCAAGCTACTAAAACCGAAAGATTTCCTAATTTTTGGCGAGTAAAATTAGGCCCATTTCCAGACTGAGAGGGGTTACCAGTGCCCTTATCGCCATGTCTTTCGAAGTAGTTGGGCCATATCTTAGCGTCCACTTTTAAATGATTAATCGCACGCTGATTCACCTAGACTACCAGCTCGAATTTGCTCGCATCTTATGAACCATTTAATCTATTCCACTTGCAAATCTATTATCAGATTGGTGCAAAGTTCCCTGCACATAGTTTTCATTTCCACTCGATTCTTATGATTAAACCACTGGAAATAAGCATTCCCTCCTCCTCTAGCATGAAACTAAATGGCTCTCAGCCTGTCGCTTCAACAAATAACTTAACGCCATATAGGTTCATCGCTTGAATCATGCTAATTTCTGATAAAGAGTTCAAAGACGTCAATTCAAAGTCCCAATTCGCTTCTCTAATTCTGTTAATATTTATTTATATCAAAAGGCAGGCGTTTTGATGGCTATCATTAGCCCTTTAGTTGACTTCAGGCTTCACAAAGGGGAAGGAGAATCAAAGTGAAAAAATTCAAGAAGGGGGGGGGGAGGAATAGAAGAGTTTCAAAGACGAAGTTAGAAAAGGTAGGAAAAAGGTGAGGTGAGTACTGTGAAAGATGTCGAATATGACATACAGTGGGGGATGGTAGTTTGAAGTCAGAAGCCAACTGCCAGTTTATAGACTTTTTTGCCGTATGAGTATACGTTGCCTAGGGTGCACCACGTGGAGGTAAGTCTATCGCACACCCCAATTCTGTTAATATAGCAAATGCTCTAATTCACCAAGTGTCATGCAGAATTTGCAAGAAAGATGACTTGAATTTATGGGTCAAGCAAACCAATTCAAGTGCTATGAAAGATTTATTTTGATTTCATTTTATTGAAGAAGCAAGAAAACATTGGAAAAAGATACTTAAAGCAAAAGGCAACAAAATTGGAGTTAAGTAATTATTAGCCATTATTTACGGGAAAGAAAGAAACGCCTTTCCTCTATTGAAGGAATCAGAGCTTCACCGACGCCGTGTTTGGCGTAATTTCTGTGTATAAGTTCTGAAAGCTTTAAATCTCATAAAACCTGAGAGTACTTTAAGCATGCCATGTCAGAGTGTCATTAATAGCGTTGATACAAAATGTAATGAATTTCATGGAAAACAGCAAAAATTCTGTTTTCTGAACAGGATAGTTAATAGATAGAGAGTACATTAAGGCTTCCTATGAGTTGCTATATGTAGTATTGCCGAATGGTATCAAAATATTATTTTTTTTATGAATAATAAGTACGAGCACTACTAATTTCAACGTCACAGGACTACACTAACTGCGTCGGTTGCTACTGCTCATAAAGCAATCAGAAACGTCGAGATTTCTGGTAACTTCTCAGTTCATTTCAAGTGAATTAGCTCGAATTCCTTCACTAGACAGTTCACAGAACAAATTCCCCTTATTACGGCATTTAGTATGAATTCAAATTCTGGAAACGCTTGTTCAGTTATATATGCAATGCACCACCAAACCCGATTTGAGTTTAAGCACATATAGTGATTGCTTATATTCCAGTTATTGTATGTAGTAGTAATGTTATATAATTGTTTAAAAGTTCATCACAATGCACCCAGTCATGACTCCTGACACCTAACATTAGGCTGTAGTTATAAAGAAAAGCTGTCATGTAAGTTCTGTCGAGAGCATTGGTATTGCAGAAGGCCCAGTATTATCAATTTTTTATTCTTTGAATGAGCCTATTCTCCTCGACTCAATTGAACAGACTCATTTTTGCGATGCACTTCTCTGTTTTTTCCAATAAAACTGAAATTATTCAGAGTTGAATATTCACTTAATTGATAAGAGGTAGAATCATTCGATACAGGTATGAACAAAGTTATGGCATTACTTGAAAGTTTGCTCATGGTTTTGATTGTGCTATATGATTGCTTATCTTTACACTGTTACTCCTCAAGTCAGTCCGAAGTAAATATTTTACTCCATTCTTTACGTAAATATCCGAAATCTTATCATATTGTTAGAAATTCTTCGGTATGCGACAATTTGTGTAAAGCTGGGTTACTTACAGTTACCTCTCGTTAGCTAAATATTAACAGATTAAAAGATGTTTTAAAACACGGTTTGAGAATAAGATTAGAACTCTACAGATGGGGATAAATGAGTCTTCAATTAGTTGAAGGGAAAGCATCGCTAAGACCCCATGTTTCACAACGCAAATGACGGGGACTAAACTTGATGGCGATTCTTCGCAGAGAGGATTGCATATTAGCTGTTGAAATCGCAGTCACTCAATGCAAATGCACCTAAATTGATCCCTGTATTTAGTTGGCTAAGACAATTAAAAGTGATCACTAGGTAGAGGTTTTTAGAGGGACAAAGACGACAACTGGAATGCGCATTGTATTCCCTTTTATTTTTGAACAGCTGCCATGACTGAAATTTAACGTAAGAAAGAACTCGTGTTTATAGATACGCTGCAAATAACAGCGAGATGAGAAGGCAATGGTGAATCAATCAATCAATCAATCAATCCAAGATCATCCATCAACTTGAAGATTTCTTTATTCAATAAATGAGTACTACAGGAATTATGTGAAAACATAGATACAAAGTATGAAAAGAATGAATATACCTGAAGGACTTCAGCTTTAAACAATAGTTGACATGATGACTCTGGAAATTAGAGGAAATGAGGTTTGTTCGATTACTCGACTCACACCTTTACTTCCTAATCAACAAACACCTCATAAAATTTGATCCTACTCCCTTCTTGTAAGCTTTTGTCTTCCCACATTTTCACCCTGTCACGGGAAGTAAAGGAATAAATCCACAATACTGCCAAGAGTGAGGAAGCAAAAAGTTATCTTTAAAGTGCAGTGGAAAGAATTATGTCCATAGGAGTTGGATCAAATAAACAAAAGTTTGTTCTAATGGG